AATTATCAATTAAACAAATTATAGTTATAAACACACTATTGTTAGCATTAACACAATCAACTAATGACTATACCTTTGCAAATTAATTTGTATATTAAATGTGAAAACCAATGCATCACTAAGTTTTAGACATATGGCTCTCTTGTATCTTATAATTCATATATTTTATACACTATATAACCTTTAACTATTCAAGGTCCTTTGAAAGTGATAAGTTAGTAATATAGTGAATCTTAAATTATATTCTTTAATGAATATTGATTTTAAACATTTAATAATTTGTTTTAAATACATAAAAATATTGAGTTGACATAAATTGTGCGAAATGTCGACACAAGTAGTTAGTATCCATGAAATGAAGTCATTCATCATTCGTGCTATGGTTGCAGCGGGTGGCAGGAGTGATCATGGTCATAAATTAGCTGAATTACTTGTAACTGCTGATCATCGTGGACATTTTAGTCATGGACTCAATAGACTAGGTATAACTCTAGTTTTTAATAACTACACAAAAATTAAGAATAATAATTATTGCAGTAATTCTTGTATTGACATAAAAGTTAATCAAAATCTAAAGTATAATTTATTTGTATAATTCATCAAGGAATGAATTATAATTTTTTTATAATAATGTATTATTTTGTAATATTTTGAATGAAGAGCTCTATGTATATGAAATGAAGTCTAAGATAACCAGACCTACTGGTGCGCCCATAATATTGAACGAGAGCACAGCCACGGCATGGGTGGACGGACACAATTTGTTGGGTCCAGTGGTCGGTATGTATTGCATGGAACTGGCCATCAAAAAGGCTAAAGAAGCCGGTATTGGATTTGTTTGTGTCAAAGGTTTGTCTATAGATAATACAATACTATACAGTATTATTATGTTTTCATTATTAACATACAAATTATCTATTAAATTTAGGGAGTAATCACTATGGTATAGCCGGGTATTATAGTATGATGGCTTTGCAACATAAATTACTTGTAAGTAATTAATTTTATTCTTGATATAAATTATTATCACTTGTTTTGAGTGTTTTTGGTATATTAGTAGTTTTGAAGCCAATTCTGTATTTCATATGATTGTCTCGATAGGGGATGTCATTCACAAACGCCACACCTATCGTAGTGCCCACTCGGGCCCAGAACCCATCGATCGGCACAAACCCCCTGTCATTGGCGGCACCGGCTCTTAACGGCGACAGTTTTGTGCTGGACATGGCTACCACTGCGGTGGCCAAGGGCAAATTGGAAATGGCTGACCGCAAAAATATGCCCTTTCCTGAGGGTTGGGCTATTGATAAAAGTGGACAGCCGCTCAAAACAATGGATGACTTTCACGCCCTGTTACCATTAGGTGGGGCCGAAAATTCAAGTTAGTATCCAGTTAATAACTTTAACTTACAAATAGTTGCAATAATTTCTGTAAACTTCTCGCTATTTTGTCGATAATATTTCATAGGTTATTGTAAAATTATAAAATTATAAATTATAAAATGTAAAATTTATGATTGGTTTTAAATAGCAAAGGACTTTTGGGCTATTTTGACCGGTTTTACATACTCTTATACAGCGCTATTTAGTACCCGAATACTTTTAAAAGTCCGTATATAAACATTATTGAGTACTCATTTATATCCCTTTTACATACTCTTAATACCGATATTTACAGCTGTTTTATACACTCTTATAATTTACTTAAAACTAGACTTAAAACTATTCCAACTTTTGAAGCAATACTTTATTTATTCACTAATATTTTGTAGACATTTATTTATTACAGTTTTAAATATTATTTATGCTACAATAGATATAATATTAAAGTTATTTGTATTACAGGTATATTTTAATTATAGTACTTGGTTTAGAAAATGATTTATTACATTATAAACTTTTAATAACTATTTTATATATTGCTAGGTGGTTATAAAGGGTATGGTCTATCAATGATGGTAGAGATATTATGTGGTATATTAAGTGGAGGTCTATACGGGCCCACCATCAATGAACATAAAACAACATTCGACCCAATGAACCTGGTAATCAAGAAATTATTTGACACAAAACTATTTTGATATAACTGACATTATTCATATTTGTTGTGTCCAAAGAGTCACTGTTTTATAGCCATAAACCCGGAGTGTTTTGCACCGGGATTTGCTGTGCGAATGCAAGACCTTATGGACTCGTGTCGCAGTCAAGTGCCAGCCAGTGGTCAGTCCAGTGTTATGGTGGCCGGGGATCCCGAGAGGGAACACATGAAACTGTGTGACTCCTTGGGTGGTATACCC